AAATTTACCAGCAAACATACAGTAAGTATAGTGATAAAAAACTTAGAAAGTTGTGAATATAAACCCAGAATTCTCTGCTTCACTTTACTGCTCTTTCCTTTTCTCACAACTGTGTTTTGCAGTCCTTAAGGACATGTTTCCTGTGCACTCATTTTCCACTTGGGGTGCATGCTGGAAAGTGAATGAGGGTGCAGATGGGAGTTCAGAACTTTCAAAGTCCATAATCCGTTTGCTTTTTTCCCCCTTATTAATATACACCCTACTTGTGTTTTGATAAATGTAATTTCTATCCATTTTCTAGCAGCAAGGAAGGAAGGACAAATATTTTTGACTGGTGCAGATGCAGATGACATTGTTTGAAAGGATCTTGGCTGCTCTAGCATTTCCTTGTGGTTGGAGACACCGTCTAGGAGAAAAATGCAATGCTCCTGCTGAGCAGGGAACATGCTGTGAATGACACATCAATCAATGAGAATATATCTTTTTCTAAGCACTTCACCTTATGTATTGTGGTCTTACTTTGGAAACAAAAATACAAACAGACGAAGGCCCCCCTGCCATTTGTAGCCGTGCTTGGAATTTGCTCAGGTAAGCGGAGTAAGCAGAAGTCAACAAAGGCATGTGCAGAATTATCTCTAGTGATGCAAGGGCTCTGTGGAACAGCAGCTCTGGCCACATACTTAAATGTGCTCAAGGGGACACAGCCTGAACTTTGTCCATTCTGCTTTAAAACTCGATTTAGTTGCAAATTTAACAAGGTGTCTATGAGGGTAGAGATTTTGCTTGGTTTGGTCTTGTTTTGTTTGGATTTTTACACTGTAGTGCAAAACCTACAGTTCTCTTCAAAAGAAAATCAACTGTAAACTGTATATAAAACAACAATATTTAGGACAAAAGAACCAGTAGTTTATTTCCTTTTCATTGTTATTTCATCTCTGCTATTTAAATTCAATGTATTAGGCGTGCTTGTAAGTCCGTGAAGAATCTGATAATCAAGGGTCTTTGAGGTCTACAAATTAAATCTCTTCAGTGACTATTCATTGAGATTGTGTTTGAGCTCTATAGGATTTACAACAGATGCATGGTTTACTAAACAAATTATGGTAAGTCTGTGTGTTTTTCTGCTTCTATAATTTTCAAGGTTCTAAAAAGATCCTATAAAAAGGAAATATGCATTTTAAATGCATTTAAATGAATATTCTGGATGTTCCTCTGCATAAAGACACATATAAGCACTCAACATTATGTCCATAAATATGACATCAACCCTCTTGTTATCAGGAAGCAAGGAAACCTGTCTGTTATTCTTGCTAGTTTTGAGTTTTCCATCAAAGAAATCGATACCAAACTTCAGAAAGACACAGATTTAAAAAATGTTTTTTAAACTTCCTCACATGTCTTCTTTTGGTTGATCCTGGCCTCTCTTCTCATCAAAAGACCAGTAGGTTGTGAGCAGGACTACATTTGCATTTTCCTTCAGCTTTGTGATTGCCTGCTGAGACTTGCAAACATTTTTACATTTTGCCACACTGTTTGCAGATTTGTTTTTGATGCATATAAATGCTATGGAACTTGAATTGATGCACAACATGACAGTTGTTATGCTTTAAAATAATTGGTATGGGTATGGGTCTTTTTGCTGGTAAAACTGGGAGAAGGAATTAATGAGAGGTACTTTTTCATTTGCTGTTTCAGTGCTAAGCCTCTCTAGACTTTTTATGTCTGTTTTTACTGAATTCATCTTTATCCTACCTAATAATTAGTAACTGCGAAAAATAGCTCATAGTTTTAGAAAGAGATGACGTTTCTTGTTCTGATAATATATGGTAGAGCACTTTCATTTTGCTTTGTGCCTGTTGTACAGTTTGTACCTCAAGATTTCAGTAATTAAGCAAGGGAGGAGATGAGGAGGAAATATTCTTGTGGTAAGAAGGTGCTCTGAGGTTTCCTTGGTTTTTATCAGAGAAGACATGCAAAATTGCAGTTCTGTTTTTCTTGTTTAATTTCAATCAGGAAGTTTAATCATATTTCAATGCCAAATGAAATGCTGGTGCATTTATAATTTGGTGGATTTAAAATTTTCTTCTGGTGTAGTAGAAGGTGCTTTTTAGCATCCCTATCAACAGGGGAATCTGCTCTTGCAGTTTAGAAGGAAATGGCTTGAGGTTTATATTGTATTGTAAAAGTAAGATACAAAGACTAACTCACTGCTATCTCATGATTGCAGGTCTGTGATTACAGCGTCTACTTGCTTTATTTTCAACAGCTTTTCATAGCAGTGTTTAATTCTGTAGGATCATTCAATTTGCTTCATGTTTCTGTCCTTGAAAGACTATGAGTCTGATTTCTGTTCTGATAAGAGGGTTCATGCAGAAGTCAAGGCTTCTAACTTCCAAAGATTTTTGAATCCTAGTAGCACCTCCTTCCTGAGAGATTGAATGAAGTTTGCAAAGTAAGTGCCCTTCACTTTTCAAATATAACGAATTGTACGGTGAGTTAGGACTATGTAAGGGTAACTCTCTTACATGTGATAGCTTGAGTAACTCTGGGTAGAGCTGGATGAAGAGCAGTGGGATGCTCACACTCATAAAATCCTCCTTGCTTAAGACCATTTACTGCACAGTGCCAGAATAACAAAGATGTGCTTTGTTGGTTCGTGGTGGCTGTGCCATGGTCCTAACCATGATGGCAGGAGCACTCAATTTCTCTGTTCTGCTGTCTCCTTTACACACCAAGTCTGTGCAAAGGATGCTTTTGAGTGTTCCTGGCAGTCTGTGAAGCTGCTTGAGTGCATGCTAATGATAAGTGTATCTTATCCAGGTTACAAGGCTTAAGCTTATGGAATCACTTGCATTTCCAATGATGTTTTTCGAAAGAGAAGAATCCAGTCTTGCTGATGACCCTTTCTTCTGCATGGTGAGAATATTTCTACAAATGGTTAAACACTTCTGTTTATTGTGAACATCACTAAACTCCATCAATACACATTATAATGTGTGATTGAGAAAATGGTTTGGGATGTTTTAAATGTAATGATTTAGCAGCTTCTTTGAAGAATATTTTATTCACTGATGTTTTCCAGTGTGACAATGAAAAGTTGGTAAATGCAGTTTTAAAGACTTTGGATTTATTTACCTCCTGTTCTCATTGAAGAGATTCAAAGCCTGGCAGGTACCTGTCTTTAAAATCTGTAGTATAAATGTCATATGAGATTATATTTTCAACTAAAATGTCTGCAAAAAATGACATGTTGGACAGAGAACAAATAGAACAATATTTTCTGTTTATGGGGCAATTCAATTCCAAATAGAAAGCTATTCTTCCTTAATATTTTTCTTCTCTTTTGTGAAACTGTCGGCAATTGAGTGTTTATCCTAAATGCAAACTCAAATAGCTGCCAACACTTTTAGAAATGAGTGGTACATAAGCATTTCATCTTAAGATTGCTTATTCTTTCCTTAAAGTTTGTGTCTCTTTGAGTGAGTTACCCAGACAAAATTTTGTCCAGAAGAAATAAATATGGTGATGGCTATTATAGTACCAGTATTTTAAAACAGTGTAAAAAATTCCAGTACAATAGATAGCAACAATACAGGTCAGGCATAAAGGGTGAGATTTTCCCATCTGCCACCCAGAGCCATGTGTGTTATGAAGTTCTTTTGGCCATTCTCTCCGCTGTCTGCTTTCTCTTCTCCCTCTCAGTAATACAGGTATGCAGATCTTCTCTGCAGTAATGCGTCTGAAAACTGGTTGTATCCCAAATACTGAATGTTTCTAGTTTTTCTTACTTTCTTCAGTTCCAGCAGAACCAATTTCCTATCTTCCTTTGCAGGAGGAACAGGCTTCTCTGTGAGTCTTGATTATGGTAGTCTTTTTCATGGTGTGGAAAATATGTGAGAATCTTAACTTTACTTATGCCTTTTTCTTTCCTTGTGCTGTCAGAAATGAGGGTGTTTCTATAAATGATTAATCATATCCATTTACTGAGGCTGTGTCATAATTTCCTGTAAAAACATATGGGAAGAGATGTCTGTCTCTGCTCTTCATCATTATGTCTGCAGAAACTTAGGAGAGCTAAAGGAGCTTTTGGAAATGATTTGATTTGTCCTATTTGTCATGAAGCAACTTTCAGTGTGGAATTTCTTCTCCAGGACTGGCAGTTGTAGCTTTAGAAGTCTCTCTGGTGTCCATCCTTCTGGAGGATGCTGATCCAAAGCATCCAGGATTCCAAACAGCTTGCTAGGCAGGAGGATTTGCTCAGCTGTATTAATGGTCCTCAGTGAAATAAGGCTCTGCAGGATTTCCAAAGTGTCTATTTCACATGACAGAGATTATTCCCATAGTGTTGCTTGAGCTTGAGGATCATAGGACTTGAATGTTCTGTATGTCTTTTTTAAGGCAAACCTTATAGAAAAAGCTAAAGTTGTATGGCTGTAAGATTGTTAACCTTAGGAAGTGATAAAGGTTGGATGTTGGGATTACTGTGTCTTTCATTTGTTTGCATGATAGCATCACACTGTACATCAGGTGGCTTCTTGACAATTCCTGACAGTACTCTTGGCAGCAATTCAAGCGTTGTCTTTGCAAATTTTATCCATTAGAGACCATCTGTTTCTTGTAGTTCACTCCTTCTAGCACTCTTTGAACTCCTTATTTTCTCAGTATTAGTAGCTGTAGGCTGGGTAGTGTTTGTGTGCTGTGGACCCCTGTGTGACTGGCTCACTACAAGCTCAGAGGTGTAGATACAGTACCTAAATGTGTCCAGAATATGCACAGTAAGGATGTCTTCCTTAAGTGATCAGACATTCTATTTACCATTCGGTGGGGTGTTTTCCACTTTTGTTTCCAGTGCCCTCAAGTGCTAGTTTGCAGTTACTGTGTGCCCGTGAACAGAGAGTGGTGCTTGTGTTTCTTGTCCATTCATAGTGTTTTATGGCTTGTAGTTACAGTCTTATGTCAGAGAAGTGTATTGGCAGAAGAACTCTTAAAATACAGTGACAAACTCAAAAATCACCAAGCTTTTACTCTCTTTTTCCAGTTTGTGTTTGGGGTGCTTGTGTTATAGAAGGAGTCAGATGATCACAAGTGATTTGAGCATGGTGTACCATACCCAACACCCCTCTAGGTCTTTCCTTGAGGACTTCAGCATGATGAAAAGCTAATCTGCAAGAAAAATTGTGAGTATTAAAAACAAATGAGTAGCTGCTGTTCTCCCTCTATTTCTCACTTATGACCCTTGTCTAGCCTCCTAAACAAAAGAATCTAGCAATCTGTCACACGAAGCATTCTTGACATCTCCAAAATGAGCTTCTCCCCCCTTCTTTTTTTTCTTCTTACTTAGATTTAAGTTGTTGCATAATTAAAATCTGACATCCTGCTTACAGTCATATCCTGTTTGCAGGATTGGTATCCATCTGGCTCACAGCTGATGGATCTTCATACAAACCCACTCTCCTGACATCAGACGCCACTTGAGAACCCATGCCCTTAAATATCACCACAGCTATATTTTTTAACCCCCTACCAAGAATAATAATAGAATCTCCTGATTTGGAAGCAACCCAGAAGAATAATCCAATCCTAAGAATCACACCCTGTGCCCGAGGGCATTGCCCAAACACTTCTTGAACTCTGTCAGACTTAGTGTCATGAACAGTGGGTGAAACTGGGTGTCATGAACTCTGGGTGAAAAACTTTTTCTAATATCCAACCTAAACCTCCCCTGACAGAGCTTCAGGCCATTCCCTCAGGTCCTGTCACTGTCACCAGAGAGAAGAGATCACTGACAGCTCCTCCACTTCCCCCATAAGGGAGCTGCAGACCCCTGGGAGGTCTCCCCTTAGGCTCCTCTTGTCTGGGCTGAATAGGGTAAGTCACCTCAACCACACCACATCGTGTCTTCTCTAGACCCTTCACCATCACTGTAGTTCTCCTTTGGATGCTTTCTAATAGCTTTATATCTTATATTGTGATGCCCTAAACTGCACATAGACTTGAGGGTGAGGCCACACCAGCCAAAAAGCAGAGCAATCGGTTTTCACTCTCCAGCTTCTCATTCCTGAGTCTGTACCTGCATCCATCCCTGTTGCAAGTGCAGAATCTGGCACTTGCTATCATTCAATGTGTTTAGCAGGAAAATCACACAGGAGAGTACCTCGCTCTGAGCCTGGTGTTACCAGCAGAATTTTGAGGGTTTTGATCACAGGTCAGATTATAGGCCTGGTGGCTGCAGTGGGGTACACCAGTCTCAAAGGGGAAAAGGGTCTCTACTTAGGAGTTAACATGGCTTGTTTGGAGAGCTGTAAATTAGATTTTAAGGGGGAAGGGATAAACCTGGATCACTAGGGATAAGCCTGGCTCACTAGAGATAAGCCTAGGGGCAGCACGCTTATTTTAGGAGGACAGTAGCAGAGGTAGGAAATGGTTTCTTTAATAGTAATAAAACTAGCAAAAGGAGAGGGAAAAAGCTAGTTTCTTGTTAGAATGCTGCCTGACAAAAATAGTTGAAAGGCGCTTGCAGGTGGCTCTTTCATGCAGCATCTATAGGGAGCTTTTGATACAGATTTCTGAGAAGAAAGACCTGAGCGGCTCTGCACTCCCATGCACAGTGCTGCCTCCCAAAATAGGTCCACCCTTCTCCACTTCTGCTCCTTCCATGCTCATGCAGAAACAGAAAATTCAACAGAGGGCAGATTCAGGAATTCACAGACAATGGGAGCACCTTGGGGAGCCCTGGTGGAGGGCATCGCCCCATGGGGCTGTGAGGTCACAGAGTCCCTCTGACTTGTTGTGTGCCAACTGTGGTCAATGCTGCAACAGCAGCAGCATCAGCATGCTGCGAGCATGGTGGGTCATGGTCCTCACCCAGTGCCTCCTCCTCTTTCTGGTGGTCCTGCAAGCCCAGGACAGCCAGTCTGCTCCAATACAAGGGCAGGGAGCAGGTAGGCAGGCAGACACATGCACCCAGCTCCAGGCTGGCAGCAGCGGGGCCAGGGCTATGGCTGGGTGAGCCAGAAAGGCTCCAGGGTGCAGCATGGGGTAAATGCACCATGAGGAGGAGGGGGGTGCTGCAGCTACTTTGGGGGGGATGAGGGGTTCCTAACAAGCAGAGAAGTGGGGAGTGACAGTGTGGGGCCAGAAACTTGGCAGTGGGTTCTCCACCACTTGGCAATGGTTAGCCAGCCTCCCGGTGTGTGCCCTGTCACTGTGTGATCTCCAGACACATTCTGTATACACAAATGACAGTGGAGAGCAGAATGTGTAATGGATATGTCTCATGGGTGTTGGGTTGTAGATGTGGCCAGACAGAGGGCTTTTCCAGCTCCTCAGGTGGATCCTCTGCTGGTCCCCAGCTTGTATCCCACAGGTGAGTATCAGTGAGTCTCTACTGACTTCACAGAGCAAGCTTTCCTTTTCCATGTTATTTGTGTGCAATGTAACTTCGTAATTTCTGTTAATATCCTCATATAAAGCTAAAACAGGGAATGATTTCCAGCAGACACTTGAAGTTACAAAGAAGGTCCTGAAAGACTTGGAGGAAACTGAAAACGGTTAGTATAACTCACTCTGTTAACTGTTAGGACCTGGGGAGCTGAGCTTTTAGCTTCTTGTAGCTTTGTGCAGTAGGAAGGGATCAGTCAGAGCCTCACTGCAGGGACACTTGCACATTGCATGGGCTGCAGAGCCACAGAGATGGTCCAGCACAATGTCTGCTACCAGCTGAGCTTCGAGATGAGTCCCACGGACAGCTGCTGCTGCAGCTGTACCATTACTGGTCAGAGATGCTTTGTGCAGATGTGAATATCCAGATGTCAGGAACAGGTGTGTGCTGAATTTGTGTTCAGCTCATGCACAGCCCAGCTTCAAGGCAGGAAGGACAACCCATGAGAGATTCTGCAGGCACTTCTGCTTGTGATGGATTTTCAGCCAGCAGACTGATAGCCATGGTGGGATGAGTGTGACTGGTGGTGGTGCTTCTGGAGTGTGTGAGGGATATGCAGAGGAGCTAACTGCTCTTGAGCCAGGAGAGGGAGAGTACCCAGCCAGTCACTGCAGGTGAGAGGGCTCTTGGCTGCTGGAAAGAAGGTGCAGGCAGTTTTGGTTTGCAGAGACCAGCAAGCTTTGTCAGGGCTGCAGGCAGTGTTGAGAAAGAAACAGGAGCAGCTCTCTGAGGATGACTTTTGTCTCTGGTGTGTGGAGGTTACTGCCCCCAGTTTGCCACAGAGATGCTTGTAGTCATGTCTGGATAGGAGGAGAGATTGCTCCTTTCCCACCACACCCAGCCCCCAGGAATTTCAGAACTTTGCTCTTTTGGGAATGGGGCCACCTGAGAGATTATTTGTAGCACAGAGCACAGTAATGTTTGCTGTTTTCTCCTGCAGGGCCAGAAGTTGAGTCCAAGACTCAGAATCCTGTATTGTTCAACATGTACTATATTCTTGGGCTTACAGTAGCCTTGTGTGTGGTGCTGCTTTGGATAATTTCATGTTGCATAGGCATATCATGGATGAGGGAGAAAGACATGTGAGTTGGTTTTCCGCTGCAGTTTTTTGTTGCTAGCTTGACAAAGCAATTGCTGGCAGTACTCTGCTGAGATTTCCCCAGTGCAGTCCTTTAACTGTCCTCTTCATTCATACCAATGAGTAGTTGTTTCTGAAATGCATTTGCACAGGGGCCCCCAGACACATGGACCAGCACCGGTACAAGTTCATATTGACTGTCTGGAAGAGCGAAGATCAAAGAGGTAGAGGTGAAGCAGAGTCAGGAGAAGGACCAGGATGCAGATCTCCCTACTGTGCCCACTTGTTTCAACTGCCCTCTGCCTGATGGTGCCTCTTCACAGGACAACTGGGTATCTGTGGATTCACCTCACCCCACATCATGCCAGTATCCCTGTAACCAGTATCAACAGGGATATTGTGCCTCAGAAGACCATCATCTTTTTGATGAATAATATATACATATATTTGTTTTTTGCCAAAAGCAGTGAGTTCTTGCCTGTTTTGGGTGTTTCTGTTTGGGTAAAATGCACAGAGCTGGCACTAGGGCTGTATCTGTGAGAGAGGCTGTCAGAGACCTGCACTGCAGTGTGGGACACCTTTGTATCAGCATCAGCCTGTTTTCCTCACTGGGGCCATCATCAAGGCTTTCCTGCATCAGAATGAGGACTTGCTGGTGAGACATGAGGTTCAAAGGTCTGTCCATTAGCTTGTGATGTTGTCCTGAACCAGGATTGTCTGGGTAGAGAGGGAAGGAGGTACTGGGAAGGATGGGCATCCAGTGCTGAGCACATCAAGGAGGGCTGATGGGGTCACAGAGGCTGCAGATGCAACAGTGTCCCCCACCCCAGAGTTCAGAGATGATAAATGAGTGGAAAGTTGGAGCAGGGCTGAGTGGGAGAGGAGAGTGAAAGCAATATGCTGTTAATCACAAGGGTGGCATTAAAAATGAAACAGAGTTAAAAGAAATAACAATGAATAGAAATAATAGTAAAAGTAATAATAAATGTAAAAAGAAAGAGTTTAAATATTGTAGATTGTCAACAAAGGGGAGGAACACCCTTGGAATGCATCTAAAGTCACACTGGCTGAGTACAGCAGATGCCATCCAGGCTGATGTGGAGTCTGACTTGCAGGGTTCTTTTCAGAGCATGTCAGATGACACAAAGTGCAGACCCCAAGGCCAGTTTTATGATACCTCTGCCCTGCAGCTGTGTCTGAAGGGTACAGCAGCCAGGCAGAAAAGGCTTTAGACATTGTCCTAGGTTACCTTGCAGGGCATTATAAGCACCTCTTCCCAACAGCCCTCCCCCTGTGCAGAGACCCCTTGTTTCACCAGTCAGCCCAGCTGCTGACCAGGCTGTCTGTGCATTGCCATTCTGCACCTGCAGGAGCTCCCCTCAGTGCCTGCTTTGCCCACTTGGGTGTCAGCAGCCAACTCTGAAATTCTTAGCACAGGGAAAGTGTTCTAGAAGATGCCAGAACAGTTCTCTGAGGATGGCTGTTGTCTCTGGTGTGTGTAGGTTATTGCCAGCAGCATGGCAGAGAGATGCTCATAGAGTTCTTATCTCCCACCACACTCAGTTCCCAGGAATTCCAGAACTTTGCCCTTTTGAGAATAAGGCCTTTTGAACTACGATCAGCATGGGATGGGAATTATGGCTCTTGACCCTCCATACAAAAACCACACTCATAAAATCAGAATCATAGAACCTCTTGAGTTGGAAGAGACCCACAATGATCACCAAGTCCATCTCCTGGCCTTGCCTAGGACAGCCCAAGAGCCACAGCATGTGCCTGAGAGTATTTTCCAGATGCTTCTTGGACTCTGTCAGGCTGGTGTTTCCAGGGAAGCTGCCACTTGCGGTGCAGTAACCATGATATGCACACCAAGGCTGACACAGGTGGGAGCTGCCGTGCTCAGGTGTGTCAAGGCAGTGTTTTTTCAGGGGCTCCCTGTCACCCACACTGGCTTGTGCATGTAGGTCTAAAATGTCCCACACATTTTGGAAATACGGACACATTTTTTTTTCTACCACCCAGGTACAAAAAAACCTCCAGGAGGAAGAATAAGATAGATCTGAGGGAAGAGAGCCCTTTTTTGTAATGTATCAGTATTATTCCTGTCAGCAGGCTAATGCATTGGAGGCAGTTCTGCTGAAAAGCCATTCAGATGCAGTGAGTAGCTGAGCAATGGTGTAATTTAATGCTGGGCAAACAGCCTCAGTGAGGCTGTGCTCTCTATAAGTTTGGCTGTGTTCAGGAGTTTGTCTCAGGTTGGGCTATGCTTTTTTTTTTTTTTTTTTTTTTTTTCATTTTAGCTATCATGCATTTATAAAAATCTATTTATGGAAATACAAGAGTTTCATGAATAAATGAGATAGCATATTCCTTTCTTCATTTTGTGAATTACAGTATCAACATTTTAGAGCCTGTTCATGAATTAATAATTACTTTAATCAATAAAAATAATTACAGTGCTAAGAACATTTTAACAATGAATGCTTTCATGCCGTTTTCACTCCTTTTTAATTAAAGCATGACAACTCATATTTACCATTTTCATCATGATCTCTCTAAATGGTGAAATTTGTCATCTTTGACTTGGGCTCTAATTATAATTCTTTTAGATGGTTCAGATTTCTTCTCATTATTCAATTATGCTTGCTCCAATTTTAAACTGACAAAATTTTCCTCTCTAAATCTCTTTCATGCTGTAAGAATATCTTTGACTTTATAATACCCATTTTAAATATTCTATGCTAGCCAAAACAAATGCAAATTAAATATATGAAATAGAAAAACAAATATAAACTGCTGAATATAAATAAATACAGCAGAAGACCAATTATTTTTGGTTTAAATGCATCTATCTTACTTCAGTATAGCATGAAATATTAATATAAATTTGCTTCAAATACAGAAATTGTAATAAGACCATAATAAGCATGCAAAAGCACCATGCAAACTTAATTTTTGTGCCTGTGACACAGCCTCCAATTAAATGATCTCTTATAATTTTTTTCATATGGAATCTCTTCCTTGCTTTTTCACTAGATAGCATGGCATTCCCTTAAATATAATAACTTGCTATGATAGGTTCAGCCTATTCTCCATAATTACTTTAGTAGTTTTTTATAATCTTGGCCATGCGAGAAAAAAATTATTTTCCTACAGTAAGATTTGTTTGCCTCACAAATTGTGAGTTCTGTTGGTGCCTCAGCCATGTTTT